TTTACTTTCCATAATGGATTTCAGGAGAGTCTGCTGTGAGAGTATTTCTTTGCATTTGTTTTATGTTTGTTCAGTGCACTATTTTGCAATGTCCCATCCTAATTGACCTTTCGACTTCAAGCAACTACAACTATGTAAAGTTTTGTTGATAAATTTTTAGTTCTACCATTGCGTGGGTGGGGGATTGATTGAACCATCGATATTTGAAATGGTAGCTGATACCTTATCCATCGGCTATTCTCGGATTTGACATATTTTGTTCATAGTTTATGAAGATAACTTCAGAACTCCTGAGCAAACCTTAGAACTCTGTTGCTTCAATTGAGACGTAGCTTGGGTAAATATACAGAGGCTTGACCTCTTGGGCTCCTTCTTAGTCCTACACAAGGGCCTTGTCCTCCTTGAGCCTTTTAGATATCCTTCTCCTTGTATTTTTTTTTTTGTTCAATAATTGGGGAGTGGAGGATGAAACTCTCAATTGTTTGAATGGTAATTGATGCCTTATCCATTGAGTTATGTTTGAATTGACAATGTCTTCCTTGTTTGAGGATCTAGAATGTGATATCTAATAATGGAATACAGAACAATTAATAATTCTAATGTGTAGGTTTATTTAAACTTTTTTGGTTGTAGGCTATAATTTTAAAATAGGAGTTCTCTCTTTTTTTTTTTTTTTTTTTTTTTTTTTTTTTTTTTTTTTTTTTTTTTTTGCCATNCAAAGGGAAGCTTTTAAACAAATTAATAAGAATTTCTTTTGGATAGGTCCTCTTCTTCTTTGGCTTTCCATAAAAAGGTGAAATTGGCTGATTTTCCTGGGGTTAATGGGTTGGTGAATTCAATAGATGTAGTTCGGAGGAGGGCTACCTGCAAGTTGCAAGTACAGGGCTTGTATTTTATTTTGGAAGAGAGTAGACGGAGGAGGGCTTGAATTAGTAAGATTATTTGTTGGTTTTGACTTTCAAATGTCAGGCAGCTGCTTTATTTTGGGAAGTGATGACTTATTCTTCCTACTCCTGGAAGAGAAAGATGCTTTGCAAATCTAGGGTGGATGCCTTGTTTGGAGGCATTTGGTTTGATGATAACAAGAGAACTTTTGAGGACAAAGTTTTGGGAGGTTTGAGGATTTATTTAGAGTAATGTTTTAACTCCAGGGTTCTCTCTATTTTCCTTCATCCTTACTAATAAATTCTTAACGAAGGTTGTTTTCCTTCAAAAAATAGACCACAATAGTTCATACCTGAACAAAGAATGACCGCTTTAATTTGTTTATAAAAATGTCAACTACCCACATGGTTCTATTTTTGTTAATATGAGCTAATTTCTGATCAAATAGGCGGTTACTGTTTTCCCCTTCTTGTTATGGCCGTTGTTGATGTTTTCTTTCTTTCTTTCTCATTTACCTTTTTTTAAAAAAATATTTTTAATGAATTGAAGATACTAGCATGTCCATAACCTCATGCTTAAAATGTTTTATGAAATTCTTCTATTTTCATATTTTTATTTCTATTCTTAAAGAAGTTATAAACAAGCATATTACTTGGGTCGTTTATTTTCACAATCCATCATTTCCAACTCTGTATTACCTTTGAATTTAAGTCAGATGATGTGCTGTCTCACAAAAATATTGATATTTTTTACACTTTCTTTTTCTGTTAGGTTTGAACTCCCTCCCATTTCACAGAAATTTCCTCATAAGATTTGCCATTTATCTTCGATTAAAAATAATTGTCACTTATTTTTTGATGCATTCAGGCAGCGCTTCCTCTCTTTCGTTTGGGTTCCGTTGTCCATTTTGTCCAATAGAAAAACGACGGAGGTTACGGCTCTCCTTTCTTTATTACGGCTGTTTTCTTCTATTGGTTTTATAAAACATTTAGTTTGAGTTATCGTGAGATATTTATAGGGGCCAAGAGGTCTTGAGAAGATTTCTTTTTCCTTGCTAGGTTTAATCCATCTCTTTGGTTGTCATTCTCTAAGAATGTTTGTTATTAGGTTTTATTCTTCTAAATTGGAGCTCTTTTTCGTATGGACAGTTCAAATTATGGTGGTGTTCCTTTTGATTTGTCTCTATATATACCCTTTTTTATTCGTTCATTTTTCACAACGAAACTCAATGTTCCATGAAAATGAAAAATTAATTGAGTTATCCCACAATTTTATTTATTTGAAATTTTGTGCAAACAATGTCGTTTATTCTTTTTCCTAGAACAAAGAAGGGACGGTGGATTTTTACTAGGTGGAACGAGAAGCATTTTCTGTTGGATGTAAAGCATTCAATCATTTCCATCAATACATTAGTAGTTTAGGTTTGCCCTCTTGATGACTGAATTTAAGACAAGTATGCATGAATGATAAGAAATTGAGCCTTAGTTGAGAAAAATGAAAGAATGTACAAGGATATAAAAAATAGCACAAAAAAGTCTCAATATTAGCATGCTTGGATATTTTTGAAAACATACAGGAGTAACGGGGGAATGTCTTAGACATTTTGACTACTAAGGTTATGCATACTTGCTTTTCTTTTGCAATGAAATCTTTTTACAGGTTTGTTCATCAATCATTGCAGGTATTATTCTCATCACAAGGATTACCTTGAAATTTGTCGCTGCTACAAATCAATATATGACATTCCGTCCGTCAAGGAAAGCTCGGCTCACTGGATACCTGTAAAGCTCTTTTCCAATTTAGATTGTCCCCAGTTTTTGTTGTGCTTGTCTAATTTTATCACTGTAGGTCCTGAGGAAAATCTGTTGGTACCTAGTTCTGTCACCACACGATCCCATGCAGTCGAGCCTTCTTAATTCCATCTTGGAAGATAAGAATCTTTCAGAGATCCCAAATTTCAGGCATGTCCTTTTTTTTTTTTTTTTTGGGTGCTTATTTCCATTGATATCAAATTTCATGTCTAGTGAATTGAAACTCAGTCTGATACTACTTAGAATTCTACTCCATATTGTTGTGCTACATGCTGATACTCTTTTTTCGTTGTTTTGTCATAGATTGTTGTTGAAACAGCTAGTTACTATGGAGGTCATCCAATGGACAGCTTTATGGAATGATTATAAGGATGAGTTTGAGAATGAGAAGAACTTGTTAGGAGGTTCTTTGGTTGAGAAGGCTGCAGAAGATCTTAAACAAAGGATAATCGAACATGTATTACATTTTCCATTTGCTATATCTCTTTAATTCATTTGGCTTCATACATATGTTCATTGTGATTCAACGCGTTTTTTGTTCTTATATTTAGAATATTCTTGTCGTGTCGAAGTATTACGCGAGGATTACATTGAAGAGACTTGCAGAGCTGCTGTGTCTCAACCTCCAGGTTTGTAGATATGCAACAAATTGTTAAACTCTCCTCTAGTTTTTTCTCCTTGATCTGTTTTGTTAATATCGTGCATTTTTTTATATTCAGGAAGCAGAGAAGCATCTTTCCGAAATGGTTGTTTCGAAGGCTTTAGTGGCGAAGATCGATAGGCCAATGGGCATTGTCAGCTTCCAGACATCGAAGGACAGCAACGAAATTCTCAATTCTTGGGCATTGAACTTGGAGAAACTGCTTGATCTTGTTGAAAAGAGTTGTCACCAAATACACAAAGAGACCATGGTTCGTAAAGCTGCTCTAGAAGTTTGAGAAGGATGATTACGAGCCACGTGTCATTGGTATATTGTTCGCTCTCTCATATTTTTACACCCAACACGAAAGAATCTAATCGAGGGTTGAAAGTACGTTGTACGAAGAAACAATTTAGTCTATGAATGTTAGTATTAAATGATTTAGTTTTTGTAGTTTTAAGTTTGTACAATTTAGTCATTGAACTTCAACATGAAGTTTAAAATTTGTATTTGCTGAAAATTTCATAGATATATAATATGAATTTGATGCGGTAGCCTCTGAATCTCACCAACAGGTCTTTTCTTTTTATTCTACTGTATCACAACCTTTATTATTATACACCTAGAATTCAAGTAGCTACCTTGTTGAACCCTCTGACGATATCGTTACATACTTTAAAGTTTAAGGATTAAATTAAGTGGAATAGTTAAGGGCCAAATGTGCTATTTTAACCGAACTAAATCTGGTAGTTTTCAGGATGTTTTATCTTTATAAATGTTTGGTGCAGGTCAGGTCACCCAGAATTGGGCATGATTGGCTGTTCGGCCTAACAGAGATCTACCAAGAATTTGGCAAGGAACAGAACTTTGATGTGTTTTTTTTCTTTTTTTTAATTAGAATTGGAAGTAAAGATTGTTGGACAATACCGACTTGAGACTTAATGCAACTTCTCTTATTTTTGCATTTTCCGCATTAATTGGCCTCTCCTTGTTTCAATTCTTGGGCTTTGTTTGCTTCATTCACCTCCCCATTTTGTTCAGTTGGTTAGTATTAGAGTTAGACATCTGATAGTGTGCTAGCGAGGACTCTAAACCTTGAAAGGGGTGAACTCCAGGTGATGTGTTAGTGAGGACGCTGAACCTGAGGGGTGGACTTTAGGCGGTATGCCAGTGAGAATGCTAAGCCCCTAAAGGAGGTGAATTGTAAGATCCCACAGGTGATGTGTTAGTGAGGACGCTGAACCTCGAGGGGTAGACTTTAGGCGGTATGCCAGTGAGAATGCTAAGCCCCTAAAGGAGGTGAATTGTAAGATCCCACAGGTGATGTGTTAGTGAGGACGCTGAACCTCGAGGGGTAGACTTTAGGCGGTATGCCAGTGAGAATGCTAAGCCCCTAAAGGAGGTGAATTGTAAGATCCCACAGGTGATGTGTTAGTGAGGACGCTGAACCTCGAGGGGTAGACTTTAGGCGGTATGCCAGTGAGCCACAGGTGATGTGTTAGTGANGACGCTGAACCTCGAGGGGTAGACTTTAGGCGGTATGCCAGTGAGAATGCTAAGATGTGTTAGTGAGGACGCTGAACCTCGAGGGGTAGACTTTAGGCGGTATGCCAGTGAGAATGCTAAACCCCTAAAGGAGGTGAATTGTAAGATCCCACAGGTGATGTGTTAGTGAGGACGCTGAACCTCGAGGGATAGACTTTAGGCGGTATGCTAGTGAGAATGCTAAGCCCCTAAAGGAGGTGAATTGTAAGATCCCACAGGTGATGTGTTAGTGAGGACGCTGAACCTCGAGGGGTAGACTTTAGGCGGCATGCCAGTGAGAATGCTAAGCCCCTAAAGGAGGTGAATTGTAAGATCCCACATCTGTTGGAAGGGAAACAAAATATTCTTTAAACGTGTGGAAACCTTTTCCTAATAGATACTGGGAAATCAAGAAGAGAAAGTTACACTCTTCTTCCCGATGTGTTAGCAGTGGAATTGAGTTACACTCTTCTTCCCAATGTGCTCGGAATTGTTCTCTTATACTGTCTTAATTTTTTATATTTTCTCCCATCCATAACAAGAATTTTAATGAAGACAGAAAGGTATATTTCATTTTTTCAATGTTTCTGTATACGTATTTAGCCACATATTTAGAAATTGAATTTGTGTTTATTAATATATTTATAAGCAAGATGGAATAGATAAGATAATATGTTATATTATAAATATTTGAATCAAATGTTTTCTTTTTTTACAAAAATTTCTTATGTTATTATATTAGATAATTTATAATATGTTATATTATAATATTTTAATTTTGACAAAAATGAAATGAGTTTATTGGATGATATAATATTTATGTTTTTTTTTTCCTAATTTAATTCTACATTTCAAAATTAAAATTTGGATTAACAGAAAATATTAAAAAAGATGATTTTAGAATTTCCAATATTAAAACCACAAAGTTCGAAGATGCATTGTACAACTAAGTTAAATTAGTGTTAAGATCTACTAATTAAGCTCTCGTGACTTTAATTTTCTCTAAAGGTTTCGTATCACTGAAAGTAGTATTACTTCCTTACTACCTATGATTTTCTCTTTAATTAACCAATGTGGGACTCCTTTCAACAATCTTCAACAAAGTGAATGCCCAGCGTAATCTGAATAAGATGAACAGGTATATAGTCGAGAAGGGAAGCAAGTTAAATGCAATCTACAAAATGGACTTGTTAAAGAAGTTGATTAGAAAAGGTTTTGTTTGAACAAAAAGTAGAGACCCATATCGAAAAGAACTTAGAAATTATGCTGTCACTTAGAGTTTCCATAGGAAGGATTAAAAAACCTATAGTATATAAATAATATAAAGTGCCTAATACGGTTGTTATGACTCACTCTATAATCATTAAAAGTGATATGATTCATATGGTTTATGTGAAGACATTTGAGTGAGAGTATATAAATAACGAGTTTTTATAAGGCTACACTGTAAATATTTATCTCTCCTTATAAATTTATTAACGGAGAAGATTAATATTTCTAAGATCATATATGACTCGATCTTAATCTTGAGTCAGTTATGAATTTCTGTCTAAAAGAAATTATCATTTGATTTGCATAAGTGACAATGTTTTTTCATAGTCGAATTAACAAAACTTAACCAAATATGAATTCGAGAATATAATTTAACGGGATGAAATTCAGTCCTTTCTATATAAGGGTAAGTAGATGACTAGTTTTTAATGTTAAATTTTGGAACTTGAACAATGGGACCCACCCTTTTGTGAAAGATCCACTTTTCTATAATGATTATATTCGTATGTTGGGATTTTGATAAGAATGTTGTTCAAATATCTTGCAGTCAATTTCGTATTACGAAGAATCAAGTCTCATTTATGCAACAAGGGTTTCAAGATCCTTTAAATGATGCTTCATTTATTATGGTTACAAGTTACAAATTAGAATGAACTATTAACTAGATTCTAATAATTCATCATAAACGTGTAACCATATGAGAATAAATGAAGCCACATTTAATGAAGCTCTTGGTACATAAATGAGACTTATTCTTATTGGCGTGAAAATGGATTATTCTCCATTTCTTTTGAGTTCATATTTTATGAAATATTATTTTAAAAACAATTAAAAAAAAAAGTTTTCTTGCATACTTAGTCAAAGGGGACAATGGGACATGTCTTTGAGAACTGCATTCAAGAAGTCAACGGTCAAAGTTGTTTATGGGCTAACAATCATTGAGTAGAAGCGATGATCATGGGACGTGGTTTTGTTTTGTTTCACATTCCAAGCAAAGGATTTCATAATACCTTCCCACACACACAATTTCAAACTTTGATTATTCAAATACGATTGTCTTTTTCTTTTCAACCTTTCTTTTATACCATTTTGAGAAGCTTTCTATTTTCAAAATTTTGAAATAGTTATCGTATCAATTGAAATCTTAAGTTATACCGTCTTGAGAATAAGAGAGAGAGAGAAAAAAAATTAAGGGTTTGATTAGGTCAATCGACGAGTTGAGTTTGATCTGTTTTTCAACCTATCGATAAAACTGGCAAAATCTTAGGTAAGTTGCTGAAAATCACTCGAGCTCAACTGCCCACCTACCCAGCTCTTATTTCCCCTCTCATTTGGATCTATAAGCCTCCTCTTGGTTGTGAGGTTTTGAGTTATTTTTTCTTTAAATCTCTAAGCCTTGTTGGAGCCGTCGTGAAATTAATAAGTGCATTGTACTTTGTCATGCCTCAGAGTTGTATCATTTGTTGGTGACAATAAAAATTGAAGTGAAATTGAGAGGAATGGATTGAATGATTGGAAAGAGAGGTCATTTTATAGGACGCGATTTCATTGCTTCTCGAAGTTGGTTGGGATTTCTGTGGACAAAATTGCTTTCACCTCCTCCTTCTCCGTAGTAACTAAATTTGTTAAACAAATTACTACTTTTTCCATCTTTAGAAATGTATCTACTAGTGTCCCTTCAACACCCTCCCTTAAACTGAATTCTGCAGAAATCAGTTTAAGACTTCACTTCATCTTCTTGATATTCATCTTGGATTCTGCACATCCCCATCTTTCTTCTAAGCTTCTCGAACAATGGTTGTTTCAAGGGTTTTGTAAATAGGTCTGCGATTTGTTCATCACTTTGGCAAAAGTTGAGTTCAATAATGCATTCTTTACAAAAATCACGCAAGAAATGAAATCGAACATCGATGTGCTTACTCCTTCCATGCAACACAGGATAGCGAGTGAGTGTGTTTAAGTTGAAGCGAGTGTGTTTACAAGCAGATATGGTGGTTTGAAGTGAGTGTTTAAGTTGAACAAGGATAGCGATAGAAACGTCATCAAGCACAAAGTAAGGTTCATGACAAAGGGGTACATGCGGTGTCAAGGAGTTGATTTTGAGGAAGTTTTTGCACTGGTGACTATACTTGACACTATGAGGTTGATTCTTGCTCTCTCGGCTCAACATGAGTGGGAGACACCTTGACGAAGCTTTCAAACATGTCCTGCTCTATTGCTGGACCTGAGAATGTTGATTGGTTTTTGGACACTGGGGCTTCAGCCCATATGACTACTGATCCATCTATTTTGGATCAATTAAAAAATTACATGGGTAAGAACTCTATGATCGTAGGAAACGATGCCTCTCTACCCATTCCCTCATACTGATACTCTTTCTTCTGTTCCAAATATTCACTTATTAGATTTGGGTTGTCTCTCGTCTCACTAAAAATCTTCTTTCAATTAGTAAATTAATGTCTAATTTACTCTCTTCGTTGCATTTACTAATAATTTTTTTACTGTCCAAAATCGTCAAACAGGAAGGGCGTGGTAGCAACCGGCAAAAGGGACGAAGGGCAATATGTGTTGGAGCGCGACAACTTTGCCTTTATTTATGTCCTTAAAAATAAATCTCTATGTGCTTCATATGATTTATGGCATGCCCGCCTGGGTCATGTGAATTATTATGTTATTTCTTTCTTAAATAAAAGTGGACATCTTTCTCTTACGTCCTTGTTGCCTTCTCCATCACTATGTAGCACTTGTTAACTTTTGAAAAGTCATCGATTATCTTATTCCTGCAATGAACATAGGTATCCTCAATTGTTAGATCTTATTCATTATGATATTTGGGGTTCTTCCCCTATCAAATTCAATTCGAGTTTTCTTTATGTTATTTTTATTGATGATTATTCTCAATTCACTCGACTTTACCCTTTAAAATTTAAATATGATTTCTTTTATATTTTTCTTCCATTTAAAACATTTGTGGAAAATCAACCTTCTTCTTGTATCCAGGTTTTTAAAAGCGATGGAGGTGCATAATTTACTAGCACTTGCTTCAAAGCTCACTTGCTTCAAAGCTCACTTGCGTACTTTTGACATCCATTGTCAACTATCTTGCCTGCATACACCTGCTCAAAATGATCATGCTGAAAGCATTAAAATAACATGTATCATAGAAATCTCATCTTAGAAATCTTTTACCTTCCGAACTTTGATTAGCCAGGAATATATTGATCATGTTCCTGATTTAAAGTCACCAAAACAAGTGTGGGAAATATTTCCAAGGCTGCTCACTAAGAAAAATACAGCTCGATTGCAATTTCTAGAGAATGAACTAGTTGTGGTAACTCAAGGTAATTTTTCTATTGAAGAATATTTCTTGAAAGTGAAAAATTTGTGATATGAAATTTCAGAATTAGATGCTGAGGAGCCTGTGAGTGATGCTCGATTACGACGTTATCTTATTCGTGGATTATGAAAAGACTTTATGCTCTTTGTTTCTTCAATAAAAGGGTGGACAAATCAGCCTATAGTTATTGAATTGGAGAATCTGCTTTCTAATCAGGAAGGTTTTATTAAGCAAATGACTAACAACAACGAGCTTTCCCCGATGTGTTGTATGTCAAAGATCAAAAAAGACCAAATTTTCATTCAAAGCCTTCATCAAGCCATGAGAATCAATTTAGAAGTGAGGAGTCGTCAAAGAAGCCATTTAAAGCTTGTTACAAGTGTGGAAAATCGGACCATTTTAAACGAGATTGTCGGGTGAAAGTGGTGTGTCATCGTTGTGGAAAGCTAGGCCATATTAAGTCAAATTGCCCAGTGAAAATGCAGGAATTAGAAGCAAATGTTGTATATGAAAGTAAAAATTCTTCAGATCCATAACTATTGAGGTTCTTGACAAGCCAACAAACGTGACTTCAACTGTACATCAAGATGATGTCTCTACAGATGCTTATGCCTTTATAGACTACGGAGAATAATGGATTGTCGATTCTAGTTATTCTCATCATGCAACTAGAAACGAAACTCTTCTATTAGATGTTCATCCACATTGTCAAAGAAGAGTAAAGGGCTCAACAAAGTGGCTGAATTGGAATTATGGCTTTCTCAACTTCAGGAGGAACAGAAGAAAACAAGTGATCAACTGAGCACATCTGAAT